TAGTTCGGTTTCTTCTGAGTACCATCATTATTCTTGCGAACGATTAAGGAAAAGAATGTGTTCAATACATCGACGACTTCAGCTTGGCTAAGTAGGCCATTTTTATCAGAATCAAATATTTTGAAGAGATAACTCATTATCAAGCTGGGATCTTGCCTGCTCACTAGCATGAATCCCAACAGATATTCAAACAGATCCACCGTGCCTAAATATTCAAATAAAAATAATAACTAGGATCAATGAAATATTGTTTCACAATGAAAAGAAGAAACATTCGATTATACAATAGTGTTATAGGACATGCCGTGTCATTTTCAAAGAAAACTCATTTCTATCTGTGATTGTATCTTTCGATGAAGTGCTGATCGAATTATTGCTTGAATCCTTCCTGATGATTATGCGATTTCATAATCATTACTGATCTTAAAGATAATATTTCAATACTTGTAGACAGTTATTAAGGACATGTTCATAATTGATAACTATGATATAACTGATCATTGGCAGTTATTTAACGAACAGCAAACATCAGTGAATTTCAATTTTTAAAGCAGACTCTTTCAATCTATAGGAAATATCTTTCTAATCCAACATACAAGAGGGCGTGCGGGTCAATATGGGATGGGTAAAGTGAATATTCTGATTTATTTCATAGACACCTGAAAATCAGAGAGTCCAATTCCATTCAAATTTTTAAAAATTGAATCGTTTTCATCTCTGACTCGTACCACAGTTAATAAAATTTAAAAAAAATAAAAACATGGTTTTGTGCATTGTTTTATATAATATGTACTATTAAAATTCAATGTACAGACATATTTTAACACAGAACTAAAAGAATTGATTGACTGCTTTGACAGTCATGCCTCATGCTATGACATTATACTTTTAAAGAATAAGTTTTCTTAGCTTCAGCTGAAGCATCATTGAAACGTTTATAAACATATCATCTTGCAAATTGAAAGTAATAAATCTGTTTAATTTATCTATCAGACACATCTATGATAAAAAAACCTAAAAAATTGTCAATATCATAATAACGTCAGATTAACACTTGTTACAGGCTCGGATGGAAATTCAAAAGCACATCGCAAAGAATTGACTTTGATTCTTTCAAAATTAGAATATAGTGCTATCCTAAAAGAATTTCTTCACCGTTCGAAGACTATACAGACTTTCGACGCCATCAAGTGACGACAAAAACAAATAGTTACCACAAAGACATAGATAAACTTTGAACAGTTTCTGATATCTGTAGTACATATCTTGTCGCTCTGGATGAAGCTGAGCCTTTCAAGAAGTAGCTAACATTCTAGAAAGATTCTCCAGAAAAAATTTTTGGTGATTGTAGGATGCTAAAGCCTTTCTACTACTTTCTTTTTACAACACCAATTTTACGAATCTAAATCAATATAAGAATATGAGAAAGAACATAACATACCTGAATTATTTTGATCGATCAAACTGAATAACTGCTTTGCCGGACTAAAATTCGTCTCTTTGCCGAACATTTCTGATTCATGAAACCTTGCAATGAACTCTTCCTCTGTCAGATAACCTTTTGGAAAACTCTTCCAGAGCTCCTCTAAAAGAAAAGAATCTAATTAGTATATTAAGTTTTTGTTGATTTATAATAAATATGAACTAAGTAGGATAACTTAGCATTACTAACATACATACGTGGTATAAAAATAGAATAGTTTAATGAAACTCACGATCAATAACAAGTCTGAAAAAAGTAGATTGTAGCATCGCAAAAAGATTAATGAATAAAAGCTTTTTATTCGGAAATTGAATGTTATCGAATAACACCAAATTGTATTCGTTAGATAGAGAACTTCACTACGATAATGTGGAACGAAAACAGATGATTGTAGGAGATTCTGTTAAATTGATTAATTCTTTAGCATAGATTATATAAGAACGAATCATTTGGAAACCTCTCATTTTCACAAAACATGCAGAAAAATGCATGAAAGTGATGTTGAATTTAGATTTTGACATTCACATCAGATAAACCACTTTGAAGTGGAGCATTGTTTTTCATTGTGTCCTGCATATTTTGCCAAGATAATGAATTTTAGAATAATTTTGCCTTATATAGTATTGAACAAAAACAATTACCCTAAAGTCTGCTCAATCGACCACTAGAACTCAAAAACTTCTAGCTATTGCCGTTGTCAATTTGTTGATCTTTCACTTATCCGTCTTTAATTCTGAGGTAGACATCAGTTATACATTTAGAATGAATGACTATCGATATTTCATTCGTGAGCTACATGATTTTTATATGATATTTATATTGAATTTACATGAAAAAGATGGAAGACAATCACAATATATTTTCAGTAACTGACCGTATTGACTCTGGAGATCGCTTTCGTCATCGTTGCCACTCGCTTTTTTCAGCGCAGCCAATTGATCTGCGTTCAGTTTTTTCTTTTCATTATTTGCCGTTGTTTGTGCAGCAGAAGCCATACGTAGATTGGTTCGAATAAAATGCAATCGATTGAATAAAGAATCAGAAAAAAAACAATTTCACTAACGTTTTATAGGTAATAGATGTGCAGCTACGCCTGCTCTTTCTTTCTTATGGTTGTCAAGCAGAAAAATTTGCAATGAATCAGCATCAATTAATGAATATATGGTTAACTGTATAGTATAAAAAAGACGAGTGGCAATTAATCGAAGAAGAATAGAAAAAAAAATATTTTCAAGGTCTACTTGCATTATGCAGTTGCTACCAAAGAAAAATTGTTTTCATTCTTACATTCATCTAATTGTGTCATGATGACCCATAAATAAAAACGGAATATTTTCTGTCGAGTACTTAATAATTTCTATCAATTGGAAAACAGACTGATCAATCTATCTTGAAGAAAAGACAAATACAATCTGCTTGCACTCCACGTTTGATTTTCAGCAATCGATTATTTTGTCGAGATCTCGATGAATTTTAAAATAGTTATTTATTGTGACTTGTACCAAAAAAGAATAATTATAAGAAATGCAGATTTTAATTTGCCAACGTGTTTCATGTTGTTTATCGAAATGTCAAAACACTCTTCAGGGCTCTGCATTAGATGTTCACGCACAAGATAAAAAGAAACAAAACATACAAGACCAAAAACAATAAAAGATAAGAAGAAGAGAGAAAGGCAACAAATAATCCAACTCTTTGAATAACTGAAATAATACGACATTCAAAACTATAATCATTTACGTAATTTTAATAAGGTTTTTGTTTTTCATCAGTTTACTTGTAAGAAGATGTTTGATCATGTTCATCATAAGTGCTATATTTTAATCTTTATTTTTATAAATTTATCTCTACATAAGTTTTACAAAGAGATTTTTGTACAATTAATGGAACTGAATAATTCTAGACTTTATTATATTGTGCTGCAATAATTCTTCATTATATGTCACAGATTTTAATTTTAATATTTATAAATTCGTTTATAGTTAAATTGCATAAAATATGTTCGTTAAGATAACGTAACGAATTTATTTTCACACAATGAATTATATTGTGACAAATATAGTTCGATCTCGTCTAAACATTTTTGTGAAATTAATGAAACCGATCTGTTTTAATTAAATTTAAATTTATTACATTGTAACAGATATAATTGTTCGTAATAAGTTACACATTTGAATGGATAGAAAAAGGCAGAAAGGAAAAATGTCGAAAGGGAAAAATATCGAAAACAAGAATATTAGATGAAAATGAGCATGTAAGATTGAATTGAGGGCGAGGGAGACTTGTACTTCAATATACTCTCGTTTTAAGGATTTCTAATAATCTACATTTGTAATATTATTGTTTTCGATATTTTTATTCTCGACATTTTTCCCTTTCGATATCTTTCCATCATACCAAAAATTTGATAAAAACAAAAAAATCACTGTCCAAAAATTATAGGACACCCTTCTTACTTTCAAGTTCAAGTCTTTATTTTATTTTCAAGAAGTTATGTTCTAGGTCTGTTGTTTGTTCGTTTATATAGAGATGACTATCTAGTATCTCTATAACTATGCAATGTCTCTTTGGAAACCTTATATGTAAGAACTATGATAGAAAAAAAATCTGACTGTCCTAAAAATTAAAAAAAAACATTTTGAGACATTCTTGTTCTGCGTTATGAAATTTCCAAAAGGATTGTCGATTGAGTTGTTGACTAGTCTTATTTACGTCTGTCAATGATTATCTCTTGTTTGATACTGTTTCAATTTATGCCATCATTGCAATGAGCGATTGAATACCACAACATGCTGTTTTCATTATGCATGATCACGTCACCAAACTCGAGATAAACATTCATGATTGCTTCCAGTGCTGTTTACAAGACGTAAATGCCCCATTTTGATAGTGTGTTCTGATTTGACGAGATGTTTTGACATATATGAGAAAAACGCGAATACTTTAAATCTCAACGATTTATACTTTTCGGGTTATAACTTGTAATTTTCTAAAATGGAACGAAAATCTGTTAATATTGATACGAAGAAAAAAATAATCATTTTATATGAAGTTGGTGTTTCGAGAAAGATTGTTCAACAATGCAACGTCTCTTGAAATTGTGTTATTCAAACTGTTAGAAAACACAATGAACAACAAACTATTTCAACTAGACCCGTTGCAGGATCATACTCTATCACTCAATAATTTCGTTTGACATACTCAAAACTATTTAGGTGTACACATTGGACGAAGTACTATTAGTCGGGTACTTAAAAATTATGATATGATTAGTTATATTGTACCGAAGAAGCCAAAGATCAAACCAATCCAACGAAAGCACCGAATAGCTTGGTGCCGGCAACATCTGCAATGGTCAAATATTGACTGGTAGTAAATAGTTGGGATCTGGGTGTGGGTGGGGTATGGGTGGGTGTGTAAGTGTTTTTCTCATCTACGGTCACACCCACTCTCTCGAATATGTTTCTATTGAATAAACTAACTTTTTTCTATCGACTGCTTTATATTCCAGTGGACCATGGTTTGTGATCATGTTCTCTATCGTACAGTGGTTCAAACTGCTTTTTTTCTTGGTATAATGGCAGGTGAAATGTTTTTTGGTACTATGTCTGATAGGTATGCGAACCCAATTTGTTTCTTTTAATTTTCATTCTAAATATTGTTCATATCAAGATATGGTCGTAGACCGATCATGAATGTCTGCTTCATCATATTAACAGTTGTCTGCTGTATCTCTACGTTTGGTCCACAATCGAAATTTGGTATTTGACAATCATATATAATCTTTGTTATAAGTCGATTTTTACTTGTTGGTTCAGTACGAGGTATAATTGAAACTGGCTTTGTACTTGTCACAGAATTAGGTAAATAACATTCCTTTGAAAAATGATTTTAATCAATTTGTATTTCTCAAAGTTATTCCGAAAAAACGTATCATGACAAATGCAGTGATGAACTATGTTTATGTACTCGGTTTGCTTTGATTGGTTGCTTTTGCCTACTTTATTCGTACTTGGAGAATGTTGTTATTGGTATCGGCTTTATTCATTGCGCCGTACTGTTCCTTCTATGGGTATAATTTTTATAAAAATCTATATTTCGCTTGATAATAATCAAAGTTTATATTGAATGTTCATTGCATACTATTCCAATAAGATCTTGCCCGAAAGTTCTCGATGGCTTGTAAGCAAAGGACGATACGATAAGGCTGAGAAGATTTTGAAAAAAGTTGCCATCGTAAATAAAAGAAAATTTGATCAATAATCATATAACAGATTTAAGAGGGCCCAGAGAATAGTAAGTGACTGTAAGAAATATTGTAGTTATATAATATGAAACGAATATTAATTATAGAACAAGCTGATATGGCTTTATTATTTCCTGAAACATTAAACAGATCATTACCACAAACAGTTGAAGAAGTCGATCTGATGGGTCTAGCTTTGTAAGTACAAATGTACCAACCTTATTTATCTTGCTTGTTATTCCAACTAAAAAATCAGCATTCTTCTAATCGAATTCTCTATTTCAGTGGTATATTACGTCGTGATTCATTGAATGCTGCATATGTCAAGGATGATGGGCCTGCTGTACAAGAATTAACAGAAAATATAGACAGTGTTGGTGAAGTAAACATATAATTATCACTAGAGATTGACAAGAAAGGAATATCGATTCAATAGTATCTCTATATGATGGATTCCATAAATACGATTCTACTTTTTTCGGATGCGTATATTCCGTTTGATTTTTATTTTTATTAAAAAAAGGCAATTTTTTTCATACAATAACATTATCCTATCGAGAATTCTGCAAATTATCTTCTAGCTATCGATGTATACATGCGCTTACCAATCGAAGAATCTTGAACAGATGTATACAAATATTGCAAACAAAAGTATGCAGATATAAAACAGAAATATTTTTCTACTTTACTATCGACTCCACCGAAATATGTCCAATAGTTTCATGGCATTCAATCATAGAAATATTACTCACTGATTAAACATATTGACTTTTTAGAATTGATTAAAATGCGTCAAGAATTTATTGAATCAAATGTTAGTAAGCTCCATACGTTATACTAGCAAACACAAGCTTTAGTCGAATCGAATACTTGCGAAGAAGCAAAACAACAAAATTGCTCTCAAGTTAAAATCTGTTGAGGAAACAACTTCTGATTTTAACCATCATCGTTTTGTTTTGGTATCTACACAAGAATCACTATCGGAAAGCAAAAATAGTTATAACCAAAAACATGCATATAAAACAGTAGTATAACATATAAGAGAAAAAGTATAAAAAATAAATGAATATCTTGATTATTTTAGGAGGTAGAGCAAGGCCTTTCGCCTGTCCTCTAATTTCAGCAACCGATGCTTATCTCAGGGATTTGAGCTTGCCTATCACCACTACCCACTGATCTATAAAATCAGAAGTTAATGCAGATTTAATTTAATAAAAGTTCTATTTTGGCTGTGTTTATTACTTACTTGTCATGGCCATTGCATTCATATGTCTCTATTCCGGATTCTGAATTTTTATCGACCAGCGTACAATTATCGCATATATCAGATACTTTGTAAGCGTCCCAACGATGAGTTATCAATTGTTTATCTTTTGGATAAACCCAAAAATAATTGTCACGATCAGGATCACCATGGTAAAATTTTTTCGACATAGCTCCCTAAAAAACATGTAAAAGTTACTTGAAACAATAATTGCAGAGAAAAGTTGGATTGACCATTTTCGGAAAATCTGTTTCGTGCAAATATTGCCTTCGATGAATGCTACGGATGTGTAACAGTTTTAGAATTTTTCTGGTTTTTTTCTCCAAGCAATTTACTTAGATATATTTAAAGAGACTTCATCACTTGGTTAGAAAACAAAAAATAAAAAAGTTAACTTGTACTGTTTTTACTTATGTTGAAATTCCTTATCATAAAGTAGCACACTATTATCATAAGTCATGAGATCTTCTATTCGTTTTTTATGAATTATACCTGCAATAGTCAATCACTAGACAGTTACGTTATTTAGATAATGAGTAACGAAGAAACGAAAATTCTTGTATATGATGTTTCCAATAAAAAAAAAGCTTTTTTAAGGCAAGTAATGACTTTGATGAAATGTGATCAAACATCTTCGGAATTCAGAAATCTTAATTCGTGAACAGTTTCTCATTTTATGAAACAAAGCTTTCTTTAGTGGAAAAAATTAAATACAGAATTTCGATCAATTGATCAATGATTCGTATCCCTCTAACTTGAAAACCTTTGACCAAATTATATCAAATTCGTTACATTCCCAAAAAAAACCTTTCTTCGGTGAAAAAATCAAATTCAAGAATTTTTTGGTACTCCGTTATCTAGTAACGTCATTGTTTAGTAATGAAAACTTCTCGTCCCTATGTATGGTTAATCAATGTAATGATTAGCTTTTGGAGATATAATTCAGAAAAAAATTAATAGAAAATCTCATGACTTATGATGATGCTATGCTGCTTTATGATAATGAACTCCAACATAAGCAAAAACAACACAAGCTAATTGTATTATTTGGTTTTTTTTCTAATGCAGCTCAAATTTATTCAGATAAAATTTATGTGAAATGTCATCCCTAGTAGATGAAGATGGACTGATTTTGAAATGTCAACCTAATAAATGAGTCATAAACTTAACCTTAATAAGTTACTTAGTTTAATTTAGCTTTTCAAAGTAAAATATAGGTAAAACACCATTCCTATTCAACATCTAGAAAAAGATAAAGCCCATTACCTGTGGAGAATTCGATGTCTACCTTGTACTCTTTTAGTGTATCTATGAAAAAACGCAGCCAAACCGTCAAGAGAAGAAATAATGTTTGTCTCTACGCTTCGGCAGAAAGAAAACTATTCACCTGTGATTGATATAATCTTTAGGCTCCTTGCTTTTAGTCTGTCTATGAGAAAAAGAGACAGGCCTATATTATACCGAGGAAAATTTTTTTTTTCTCGATACCAAGGGAAGGCCATGCAAAGAAGAAAAAAAGATATACTCCTCTTTATACATTAAGAGACAGAAAGCTATTAACCTGTGATCAATGTAATCTATACGCTCCTCTCTTCTAGTCTGCCTATGAAAAAAATACATGTAGACTATACAGAGAGAAAAAATATTTCTTGATACCAAGGGAAAGATAAAGCTACTAAACTGTGAAGTATCTATATTAGAGGCTTCAATTTTCAACGCTGTCTATTAAAAAACAAGATCTTCTAATATGTCCATTAATAAGAGATATTTTTTGTCAATGTGAGTAGTTGTGGATTCTGTTTTACAACATTCTACTCATATCAAAATGAAAGAGAACAGATTATGGAAGATTCTTAGAACACCAATAGAGGTGAGCATAGAAAACTTCTTGTTCACGTAAGTTTATAGTATATTACAAAAAAAAATCCTCAACGGAGACAGCTTTTCATGAGTTACAAAATGGTCTATTCATTCTCTTTATATTTAATCAAAAGAGCGGCATGAAATCGTTAATACGAAAATGAGTACTGTAAAAGCGAGTCATTTTGAAGTATCGTAATGTTTCCCAGGTATAATTCCATCGAAAAAGTCGAAATTTATATCGGCAAACTCATGATATTATGTTGTGACACATTTTACCATGTTCGTTAAGGCAGTTAATTATAACATGTTTGATACCTAAAAACGAGCAAAAATGATGTTAACATGTTTGTTTCTCGACTTGTCAATTTTCTCTTTGTTTTTCAATATTCAAAAACATGTTTCTAAATTGTATAATACCAAATAGGTCGGTATTTTAGATATGATTTTAAATTAAAAAAAAATTTTCTGAACAAGAACTTCTCTTTTTCGTGTTTTTTTTTTCATTTATACATTATTACAGGCATTCATATTTGATACATAGATATTGATTCTTTTCAATTAAATGTATAATTCTTTACTTTATTTTGAATACATTTATTCTATATATCTGTATTTACATGAAGAAAATAATCTTTGAAATACTCTGAAAATGGATAATTATCACCCAGATATCTGTTTTTGGTACACATAATTTATTTTTGCACAATTAATTCGTTTTGCAAATCTTTTAAAATTGTTTGTTTTAGAGAGATGAATATTATTTAGCAAAACACATTTTCATATGGCGTAAAAATTGTTCGATATAATCATCATGAATTTGACAAAGATCAAGGTGAATAAGATGAGAATATTCCATAATTGATGAAACTTGATTATAATTCTTCACTTTTCTGCGTTGTTTATTGTTTTCTATAGTTAACATTCTTTGTAGAAGTGGTATAACTAATTCATTATAAGTACATGTGTAAGTATCAAAATGCATTGAAAATGATCTTAAATTAGGTAGTGTTTCCTAGAAAAGAAAACAAAAAAAAATCTATCGCATTATCGATTGTTATATGACGAGGAAAAGTGATCAATCTTAACATCAGCTATACGAAGAGATAGTTGAAAATAATATATCAAATGATGATTGTTGAAACCAATGTAAATATTAACTGAAATTGAAATATTTTAAGTTAGTGAACGTCATTCATAATTCCAGATAAAGCCATTTGATTTGATAATAAATTTCCGATATAATTTCTAAAGAAAATCGATCATGCATTGGGTCAAATAACGGACAGAAAAAATCATCCGAAAAACATGCCATCAATGTTAATTGTTTGTAAGAATTGAATCACGCCGAACTCTGTTAAATCGTTTCTTGACCCTAATGAGGGTGTGGGTGTGGGTGTATGGGTCTCAGTCTCGTTTTCATCTAAACCCATACCCACACCCACACCGTCAGAAACCATCCAATCCACTGAGTTGTACGACAAATGACATATCGATCAGTAATAAAAGATAATGAATGGATTTTTTAGATATGAATTATTCCAGCGAAGGCTTAAATTTATGATTTTCCGATATAAAGGTACATTTATTAGTTCATTCTATATGCAGAAAAGACAATATAAGGTAATTATATTAGAAATTTGTAAATAAAAATGAACTTCGAGTCAGAAATGTCCATGGTGACAGTAGTAGTGTCACAGAATGTATTTTGATAATACCACTACAATGGCACCCTTTTTAGAGACGAATTGCAAAACTGCATGAATTTGTACACGATTTCGGTGTCCATGAATATAACACTTTGAGACTGAATGAATTTGATCTAAAAGTTACAAGAGTGCTAGTTCAATACCTTGTTTGAAATAGCCATCGTAGTAGCGGCCTCAAAGACAGGTTTTCAGTCTCAATGGACATCTTTGGTTCGAAGATTTTCTTATTAACAAGGAAGCAATTATTTGTGCTTGTTCGGAAGTTATATCAATTTTTGCTCTACTCATATTAATACATAAATAAGACACATTATCCATTATAGCTTCATTATTACCCGTTTCAGTCAAGGTCAAACAGGAAACATTATTTCTTCGAAAATCATACGTTTGGGATGACTCACATATTGGTATTGAATATAGTTCAACTATTGTATTCTAAATACAAGTACAATTAAGAGCTGGTGAGGAGACATGTGATCATGTAAGAGAAGAAGAATTTCGAAAATATCCGCGCGAATGGCATGAAACTTGCCGCAACAAACAATGTCGAAAAGCTACAAG